CATTTTTACTGCAGTTCAGACTATTTTGAATTTTGTGTTTTCATCACGTTCTGCTTGTATTTTACTTCAAATATCTTCAACTGTATTGATTTTATGAGAATTGATGTGTTGCATTGCTTGGAAAAATGATAATAACATAATAATTACTTAAAGTTTATGCATAAAATGCCATTTTAAAAACATTAACTATTGTTTAAATGGCATTCTATAGTTTTGTTCATTTATGACAAAATAACTCAGCACTATGAGAAACTGATGTTACCGTTTAGGCTCAGAGCAGGGCACAGGGTCAGGGACTGACCAGGAAAGTTACGTTACTGATCCATTCTAGGGCTGCACAATATATCGTAAATATATCGTTATCGTGATATCAGCATGCACAACAGGCATATCGCAAAGAACAGATAGATATCGCAATGAATGGTCAGCTCAAATGTTTGCTACACATAATGCATTCTGTCAGTCATGATGTTTTTTAACAAATCAAACGGAGCTCTTCACCCATTCGGCCAACTGGGTGGGTTCTCAGAGGTTAGCGTCCCGCCCCCGAGGCGGACAGCACTTCATCTTGAACCTAACCCTAAATCATGTAAAACTGTGACAGAATCTGTTAGAATTCCAAAATAAAATAAAAATTGTGCATCAGATACTTTTAACACCATTATGAGTGTGAAAAGTCTCTCTCACACATGCGTGACCCAAACCCCGCCCTGCCCACCATGAGGGCCTCCAACAGGCTCCTCCCACTGGGACCAGCCTGGAAACGCCAGTGGGAAGAAACCAGAATCCTTCATTTTATTGACTGTGTGAGAGAATGGAAATAAAACCTTTTAGAAATCGTGTAAAGTTGAACGCTGCCGTTATACTTTAAGGACCTGTGTCATGCTATTTTACACCTTCCAGTGCAGTAGGCACAATGTACCACAAATATTACCGTTGGCACGGCTGAGATGCCATTTCTTACTAAACATAAGTTGTTTTTGTGAACCATTACTTCAACCCAGAAACAAAATGTTTGGACTTCACGAAACCCCGCCTCCTCCCACGTGAATTCTACCCATTTCATGATGCAACACTAGATCAGCAGCAAAGCAGCTTTTGCAACACGCCAGCAGCGATGAAGTGTCAGGAGCACCGAGACGTTTCCCCGTGGCTGGCATGTCCCACTCAGTGTTTGAAGAGTGGGAGCATTTTGGTTCTGGCTCCCCATCAGGTGGGTTTAACATTTAGCGCCTGTTTAACAAAGTAAACCACCCCTGCTACTGGCGCTGGTTTAGCTGTCAGTCTGTGAAATCACTGGACTTGGTGTGTGGCAGCTCCTGCAGATAAATCAACCATTTTTGCAGAGCGAACTCTTTTCCAGGAAGATGGGACGGTTCTTGTTCCTCTCACAGGCAAAAATCCATTTTTGGGCTTTAGGCGTTATTTAAACTGACAGTGAGTATTGTCCCTGGCAGTAGGGGGCAGTAGCACCCAAATCTTTATAAGCGAGTGGTATTTTTGTGTTTGAGTAACACCTTACCAATGGATAGCCATTAGGGTGAAAAATCACTGGCAGAGCAACCTTCAGCAAAACGACAAGCACATCAGACTCCCTTTCCTCAAAGGCAACGAGTGAAGAGGTAAATGTGTAAAACAACGTTTATGAAGGGCAAAAGTTTGGTCACCGTCTGTTACCAATCAGTAAATGCGTTTTGTCCTCACGGGCTCCCGTAGAAGAAAACCCGGCGTCTAATATGGTGTCGCCCAGAGACTTTGGGCGTTTCTCAATGTCGCGGCGCCTGGCCTCGCCAGGCGATGTCCTACGAGGCCAGAAGCCAGGAGAATGATTATGTAACCATCAGACTTCTGCAAGAGCTCGGCATGGCTGAAGTGAAGAAGCAGCTGCGAGGAAAACGCACGCGTAAAGCCAACATTCGCTTTGGGGTGTTTTATGAGGAAATAACATAAGATGGTCAACAGCTCAAGGGCAGCTTTCCTGTTATGAGACCTGCAGCGAAGCTGCCGTCCTTCCATTTAAAAGGTGGAACAGTGCTGACTCTTTTGTCCCATGAGGTTCCGATTTAAATGCTTTGGTGTTTGCCTGCTGCTGGGTTCTGGTTCTCATATAAGAGGGTTCTTCTACGTGATCTAGGTTCAGATTTTACTGGGTGTGATTTTCTGGATACTGACACAAACTGGTTTTGACTCCTCTCAGACCAGTTCTCTTTTTGCTCAGGCGTCTACCTTCCTGCAGGTGGACTTGTCTCTGCAGAGCGTGGGTAGGAGCTGTGGAGATCCCAGGAAAGGCTGAACTGATTTGTCTCACCTAGGCTCCAGCTATGGTTTCAAGCAGGATGGGGTGGCACCCCCCACGCTCCACTCACAGGGCATGCATCAAACATGCAGCTAGATGGGCCGAGGTCCTCACCCCGCACAGCCCCGCAGAGCTGAAATGTCCTCCTCAGCAAACAAAGAATGTTGGAAACTTTGCACACCCACAGCAGTTAAAGGGTAAAATGACCTCCCCTGAACACAAACCATCGCCTTTCTTTACTCCGTCCCCTCAGACAGAGGGTAGAGAGGAGTGACATCACACCAAACATGCAGCCTGTTGTGAAAAGCCCAGCCACTGGTTCGCGCTCACACCTCCTCTCTGTGAGGATGGACCTCCAGGGTCCTCCTCACACTGAAGGCTATTACATCACAGTTTGGAGCTGGTGGTTCCGCTCATCCCTTACTGGATGCAGGAACCAGAACCTCCTGTAGGGTTGTACAACTTCTATGAGATGTAGCTCCTTCTGACTGGGACAAGAAGGACCAAATGGAGACATTCTGGGAGATGGACATGGACACGATCCAGTAGACCGGGACAGGCAGAATCCAGACCCGAGTGTTTACTGATGAAATGGTCGTTTCAATCCCAGACAGAGACGGGTGAAGATATGAACCCTAAATGTTTTTATAATGAGTGTTTGCTGAAGCCAGAACATCTTTAAATGAGCTGAAATGTTCAAATGTGACTGATGAAGTGTTGCTCTGTCGGTGTTCCGGTCCTCTCAACCGGAGCCATTCAGGTCCAGGCCTGAAGGGCCAGTATCCAGCATGTTTTAGTGGTTTCTCTGCTCCAACATACCTGTTCAGCAGCTCATCAGGCTCTGCAGAAGCCTGCTAATCACCTGCTGACTGAAATCAGGGACGTTGGAGCAGGTACAACTAAAACGTGCTGGACACCGGCCCTCCAGGACCAGAGCTGAATGGCCCTGTTCTAAACCCCGAAGGCCGCCCATCCCGGTTCAGCTGCAGGTTTCTGGCTACCAGCAACCTCCCAAAGGAACCCGTCTCCGTGGGTTTCCTGTGCTTGCTCAGAACGGGAATCACTCGGTGAAAAGGGTGTTAGTTACATCTGTAGTGTCACATCCGTTATACTGCCACCCCAGCCTGCAGACCAAAACCACTGTTCTGGGACCAGCTCTAGCCCTCGATCTCATTCTGGGTTTTCTGTGTGAAAGAACCAGGAAGCAGCTAACAGCTCGACTCACCAGGTGGGCCGGACCACAGGTGTGAACACTAAACAGACACCTAATCGACTGAATGTGAACGCTGACTAAACGTCAGTCTTGTGTCCAGTAGGTGGCAAACCCTGTCCGGGTGGGGGTTTGGGAACACGCCACCAAAAAGGTCTGACTTACGCAACATAATCAGCTATAACGACGGGCTTCGGGATGTGTCCCGCTGGGATGTGGCCTCTGAGGATCTCTGGCTCAGGCGGGACGAGAGCAGCAGCCGTGGGGAAGTGTGATGCGTTCATTATGTCCGGCTGAATGGTGGGTAGGGGTGTCCGGTCTGAGGCCCTAGAAGATGACTCCAGCTGCCAACGGTAACCAGAGACAGTCAGTAGCATGTTAGAACGTCTTAGAACATTACAAAGGAACTGTGGGCACTTACTAAAGGCAGTGGGACTGATGACCCCATGGTTTTCATCTAGGTAGAGACAACAAGTCAAACCGTTATTTATCCGGCACAGATCTAGGTTCTACTGGGGAGGTTTTCTTGGGTAAAGCTGACCTCCTGTGTGAGTGCCTCCCTCCTCATCCTGGCTGCTTCGTGCCTCCACAGCTTCAGACAAACTCCTGCACTAATGAAGTACAGCACCATGTTGAGGAAGAGGAAGACTATGGCTGCGTTCTGGCCAGCCTCGGTACGACAGAACGAACCGTTTACTCCATTGTTGAAGACGGGCGTGTAGCACAGTCCTCCTCGGACGGTGTCTCTCACGTACACGATCCCCGCTGCCAAATAGAGCACCGCTAGCACCAGGTTGATGGAGCACTCTGTGAGGGGCCACCACGAGGAGTCCAGAAGGATGGCTCTGTAGTAAAGGGTCATCCCAAGAACCACCAGAATAACAGTCACTATCCACGCGATGCCAGCCACCACCAGAACAAAGGGTGTCTTGGGGCCTGTGTAGGGACTGCCCCCATAGATGCCACCAAACCCTCCATACATCTGTGGCTGTGAGTATCCAAACATGTTGAACCACTCGTTGTCCTTGTGAACATAAGCACAGACGCAGGCGAACACAGCAGCTCCAAGTAGCAACTGTACAAAACCCAAGATCCTCAGCAGGCCGGCCCAGGACTTCATGTATGAGTAGCGCTGATGGTACTCCTCCACCTTCTCCTGGTAGGTCTGGGTGGACGTGTTACTGGGAACCGCAGAAGCCAAGTCCATAGCTTCAGCCCCCAGCAACAGTCCATCCCGCTCCTTCTGAGTGATGTGGCTGGCTCCAGAGCCCCCGTACGGGTCGCGATACGAACCAGGAAGTGAAGGAGATGGAGGTGCAGAGTGAGGGGGCGAGCAGGGAACTCCAGCTGTGGTATGGCAGCTGGTGGGTTTTTTGGACGAGGGGGTGGGAGAGGAGATGGGCCAACCTTTGCTGCCCCGGTTACTGCTGTTGCGTCGGAAGAAGTTCTTGACAGAGTCGGGGATGAAGCGATGGACTGGTTTAATGTCCATCACGTCGCTGTCGGGCTCCACTGGCTCATCGTCGCTAGGGGGGTAAAAGGACTCGGGCCCCACAGGTGCCTGGCTTGGCAGGGGAGGAGGTGGGAGGGGGTCTAAGCTGACTGCTGGCACTGTCCCATGAGAGGGTTGAGGAGGTGGGGGTGGGGGCATGTTAGGGTCCTGCCATAAGGAGTCTACTGGAACCTGATCGTAATATGGCATTTCCCTCACCCGGTCAAACCTGGTGACAGAACCAGCTCCCCCCGAAGACATTGGGACCTGGACTCTCTGGTCTCTATGGAAACAAGCACAAAAATCAATCATCAGTGAGATAATCCCACTGGGGAAGGGGGGTTGCTGGGAAGCTAGATTAGTGATCAGGCCTTCATCTGTGTTATTGTTGTTTACATGACACAGGATCACCATGGAAACAGTTTTAATAACAACAAGAGCGAGAGTACATCTGTCTGGTTTTCAGACTAAAACAATACTACACACTTCCTGTTTACCTGACAGTAGACCCCGCCTCCACGAGTGGCTCAGAAACCATCAGCCAGATGTGATGATGAGTTTCATCACATCTGGCTGATGGTCCATGAAACTTATTATTATTATTGCTGTTGCTGTTGTTGTTGTTGTTGTTGTTGTTGTTATATGTTAGGAAAAGGGATGCTTCTGTTACTTCTGACCACTTTGACTTCAGGCATGTCTCACCATGTCTGAACTTCAAAATAAAAGCCACAGAAAATACCCACAGGGCCTAATGTTGATAGGAGAGGTTTCCACAGACAACTTACGTTACCGTAATATCATCTGCATGCGCGCACAAGGAAACTCGTTTAGACCGGATGTGAGAGTAAACCTGCCCCGTGACGCCAGAGCCCACACCTGCAACCAGCCAGCGTTTCTCCAAATGTCCCTGAACGACTAAAACAACAGAAGCATCCTGACAGGTGCAGCAGAACATTCAGGCCGTGGCCGACCCAGGTGGATGATCCGTCGGTGACATCAGAACGGACACTTACCGGCTGATGAGTTCCCGTCTGTTGCTTCCTGACCGGAGCAGGTGTACCGTCACACCAGCTAGCTGCTGCAGGAGGAACAAACCCGAAACTCACCTGGCCAGGTAAACGCCGCGTTCAAACTCACCTGTCCTGTCTGACAAGCCGCGTGAGGCGTTCACAGCTTACCTTTACATCGGACAACTCAGTTACCGCCAGCTCTGGTCAGACATCGGAAGAAAGAAAGAAAGTCGCACGTGTGGTACTCCTACATGAACAAGAAGACGTGGGAAAACGGTGTACCCTTAACACGAGCTAAACCTCTTTTTTATTTACTGTAGTTATTCACAAACACATACACACGAGCTTTAACGGCTACAACGTGAGTCATCTACAGAACAAAGAAGGAAAGAAAGGACAGAAAACTGAAGATAGAAGGATAAGAAAAATGCTAGATCATAATAGGGCTACTAGTATTCAAATGAAAACATGAAAAAAATTACATTTTTCAATAGTTTAAGAGCCTTCTGCCTTTCAGAACTATTAACAGAAAATACGTCGTTGGAAAGAATGCTGCAAAGCACGTTTTCACCAGAATATTTACAACAGTGGATGTAAAACGTAACATCAAAATTAAGAGCTTATAGAGAGTTTTTGTTCAAACCAGTTTCTAAAGCCCCATTCCCATCTGTACCGGGTCGGCCCGGGCCGGGTAGCGTAGTGGGCCATTCCCATCTGTACCGGGTCGGCCCGGGCCGGGTAGCGTAGTGGGCCATTCCCATCTGTACCGGGTCGGCCCAGGCCGGGTAGCGTAGTGGGCCATTCCCATCTGTACCGGGCCGGGTAGCGTAGTGGGCCATTCCCATTTGTACCGGGTCGGCCCAGGCCGGGTGGCGTAGTGGGCCATTCCCATCTGTACCGGGTCGGCCCAGGCCGGGTGGCGTAGTGGGCCATTCCCATCTGTACCGGGCCGGCCCGGGCCGGGTAGCGTAGTGGGCCATTCCCATCTGTACCGGGCCGGGTAGCGTAGTGGGCCATTCCCATCTGTACCTGGCCGGGTAGCGTAGTGGGCCATTCCCATCTGTACCGGGCCGGCCCGGGCCGGGTAGCGTAGTGGGCCATTCCCATCTGTACCGGGCCGGGTAGCGTAGTGGGCCATTCCCATCTGTACCGGGTCGGCCCGGGCCGGGTAGCGTAGTGGGCCATTCCCATCTGTACCGGGCCGGCCCAGGCCGGGTAGCGTAGTGGGCCATTCCCATCTGTACCGGGTCGGCCCGGGCCGGGTAGCGTAGTGGGCCATTCCCATCTGTACCGGGCCGGCCCAGGCCGGGTAGCGTAGTGGGCCATTCCCATCTGTACCGGGTCGGCCCGGGCCGGGTAGCGTAGTGGGCCATTCCCATCTGTACCGGGTCGGCCCGGGCCGGGTAGCGTAGTGGGCCATTCCCATCTGTACCGGGTCGGCCCAGGCCGGGTAGCGTAGTGGGCCATTCCCATCTGTACCGGGCCGGGTAGCGTAGTGGGCCATTCCCATCTGTACCGGGTCGGCCCAGGCCGGGTGGCGTAGTGGGCCATTCCCATCTGTACCGGGTCGGCCCAGGCCGGGTGGCGTAGTGGGCCATTCCCATCTGTACCGGGCCGGCCCGGGCCGGGTAGCGTAGTGGGCCATTCCCATCTGTACCGGGCCGGGTAGCGTAGTGGGCCATTCCCATCTGTACCTGGCCGGGTAGCGTAGTGGGCCATTCCCATCTGTACCGGGCCGGCCCGGGCCGGGTAGCGTAGTGGGCCATTCCCATCTGTACCGGGCCGGGTAGCGTAGTGGGCCATTCCCATCTGTACCAGGTCGGCCCGGGCCGGGTAGCGTAGTGGGCCATTCCCATCTGTACCGGGCCGGCCCAGGCCGGGTAGCGTAGTGGGCCATTCCCATCTGTACCGGGCCGGCCCGGGCCGGGTAGCGTAGTGGGCCATTCCCATCTGTACCGGGCCGGCCCGGGCCGGGTAGCGTAGTGGGCCATTCCCATCTGTACCGGGCCGGCCCGGGCCGGGTAGCGTAGTGGGCCATTCCCATCTGTACCGGGCCGGGTAGCGTAGTGGGCCATTCCCATCTGTACCGGGCCGGGTAGCGTAGTGGGCCATTCCCATCTGTACCGGGCCGGGTAGCGTAGTGGGCCATTCCCATCTGTACCGGGTCGGCCCAGGCCGGGTGGCGTAGTGGGCCATTCCCATCTGTACCGGGTCGGCCCAGGCCGGGTGGCGTAGTGGGCCATTCCCATCTGTACCGGGCCGGCCCAGGCCGGGTAGCGTAGTGGGCCATTCCCATCTGTACCGGGTCGGCCCGGGCCGGGTAGCGTAGTGGGCCATTCCCATCTGTACCGGGCCGGCCCGGGCCGGGTAGCGTAGTGGGCCATTCCCATCTGTACCGGGCCGGGTAGCGTAGTGGGCCATTCCCATCTGTACCGGGCCGGCCCGGGCCGGGTAGCGTAGTGGGCCATTCCCATCTGTACCGGGCCGGGTAGCGTAGTGGGCCATTCCCATCTGTACCAGGTCGGCCCGGGCCGGGTAGCGTAGTGGGCCATTCCCATCTGTACCGGGTCGGCCCAGGCCGGGTGGCGTAGTGGGCCATTCCCATCTGTACCGGGCCGGCCCGGGCCGGGTAGCGTAGTGGGCCATTCCCATCTGTACCGGGCCGGCCCAGGCCGGGTAGCGTAGTGGGCCATTCCCATCTGTACCGGGTCGGCCCGGGCCGGGTAGCGTAGTGGGCCATTCCCATCTGTACCGGGTCGGCCCAGGCCGGGTGGCGTAGTGGGCCATTCCCATCTGTACCGGGCCGGCCCGGGCCGGGTAGCGTAGTGGGCCATTCCCATCTGTACCGGGCCGGGTAGCGTAGTGGGCCATTCCCATCTGTACCGGGCCGGGTAGCGTAGTGGGCCATTCCCATCTGTACCGGGTCGGCCCAGGCCGGGTAGCGTAGTGGGCCATTCCCATCTGTACCGGGTCGGCCCAGGCCGGGTAGCGTAGGTTGTTTACATATCTGGGTGGCCTGGTATTTTCCCGGGCCAACCAAGGCTCATTCTCAGCCCTCTTCTCGAGGGGGTCTGCTTCAGGCCACCAGGGCCAACACGCCCACTCTCCACTGATTGGTCAAGTGATGTGTTACCCTCCCCTTCAATAAAATCTTCTGATTGGCCCTGCGGTGTTATTTGTAGTGATGTCACAGAATCACGCCCACCTCTAACTCAACTCAATCTTCAGTTCTCCAGCGTTGACATCATGGCTTCTCCCTGCTCCCAGACCTCATCTCCTAACCCCTGGAGCAATGAAGAGGTTAAACCCCTCCTCTCTTTGCTCAGCGACGAGAGAATCCAGCGCGAACTGGACGGTTAGGTGCGTAATGAAAAGATCTTTCAGGGGCTTGCACTGGCGATGTCCACCCACGGCTTTGAACGCACCTCTAAGCAGTGCTGAGAAAAAATAACAAAGCTCAAAGCTGAGTACAGGTCCGTCAAGGACCACAGCAGCAGGAGTGGAGCAGACCGGCGGCAGTGGAAGTGGTTAGCCGAAATGGACGCCATTTATGGTGAGAGGCCAGTGAGTAATGGCCGGCAGAGTGGCGTGGACACAGCCACTCCAGCTCACACTGGACCTCAGGACAACGGTGAGTGAGCACGTATCATAATAAGTAATAATATGACCTCCGTTTGTGCTACACTGTACTATAGTGCGGACGAAATGCTGTGCTAGCTTTGGGTAGCGCTGATGTGCGACCAAAAGGCTAGGCTAACTCCAGGCTAGTTGTTGCATGCCTACTAGCCTAGCTTGCCCAGTAACGTCTTCGGTCAGTATTTGTGTTTGTGCATATTAAGTTACTGTTTCCTCATAAAAGATACAACTCTGGAAATGTGCGCTGATGAGAGCCAGGACGTGCCCGACACCGGGGACATGGACGCTGGGCCCTCATCTGCCGACAGCGGGCGTAGCTGCAGCCCGAGCGTCTCAGCGCCGTCGGTGGACGACAGACCACGCTACGGTGAGTTCATTTGCAACAACAACATCAAAATAGGACAAGCACGTGTGATTACATATACATCTTCTTGGTGTTAATTCAGGAAAAAGAAAGCGGGGGAGCACCAGCGTGTCACCATTGTTGGAGACGCTGGTGGAGAGTGACGCGGGGCTCCTGGAGACAGCGAGGAGGATGAACGCTCGAATGGAGCAGCAAACTGAGGCAGATGCGGAGGACAGACGCCTGGACAGGGAGGAGAGACGAGAGGAGAGGATGGCACAGCAGCAAGTTAACGACTCCTTTTTGGATGTGCAGTTTGGTGTCTGCTGTTGAGAAATCAACCAAATGACCTGATTTTTTTTCTTTTCTTTTCTAGATGTGCAATAAAGTGTTTGACAGTGCAGCGTGTAATCCATCATTGTCCTTTACACAGAATGTGAAGTGGAAAGGTCCAATTATAGTTTCAATATAAAACTTTGTGCTAACATAGCATACACCAGCCTTGGGTATTTGCTTTATTCAACTCAGATTTATATAGGAGTAAATACCAGGTAGGTGTCAGTGTAGCCAAGACTAGGTGATATGTCAGCAGGAGTGTAGAGATGGATCAGAAGCTCTAATGTGCCCCCCACACTTGGCTAATAAGAACTTTTGTCAGTCAGGCATCACTGTAAACAAGAGTCCAAATATTTACCTGCACTTGCCTTAACAACTTGAGACGTATGGCTAAGCCTTGGATGTGCTTAAAACAATTGTAAGTCAGCTTTATCTAGCTCAGGGTTTCTCAACGGGGGCTGTAGCGCCCCCCAGTGGGCATTCAGGCTATATAAGGGGGCGGTGAAAGTTTTTTGCCACTGAAGGGGGCGCTGAGATGCTAATGGTGGGCGCTAGCGATACAGGACATTCATAACAGACAATGGCTCAGAATAAAAAGAAGTGCTGACAGTACAATGTGGACTACCTTCAGTATGGATTTATTCCTTCACCCACGAATCCACAACTCCCCATGTGCCTGCTTTGTGAACAAGTTTTTTTGAAACGAAGCAATGAAACCCTCCTGGCTTAAGGATGCATCCAGACAAAGCTTTAAAGGAACTGAACTATTTTCAGGTAAACAAAGAGAGACACTCTAAGAGAGGTAGCATTAGCGGTATGTTTGCTCGAAGCATGAATTTACTGGACCGAGGATTATCGCTCCCTACAATATCTCGTTGCTAATAGCTAAAACCACTTTTTTATGATACTTTTTTATGACATATTTGTATGAAACTGTTTCAAATTCAAGGCTGAATTGTATTTATGTATATATATTTTTTTAATTATGATTTTTGTATCAAAAAACTTTCTGTTTCTCTGCATGGGACATTGGTGGGCAGTAAGGGATTTGGAGGGGGGGCATTTAGCTGAAAAAGGTTGAGAAACCCTGATCTAGCTGATCTGCATTCATTTGGCCATGTGCATATAATTTATTTGGATTTAAGAGTTTATTTTCTTTGTCAGCAGGCGTGTTTAGAACACGGAAGCGCAGTGGTTGCAGCACTTCAGAATGTCTGAGGAGACGTTCATGTTCCTGTGCAACAAACTGCGGCCAGCATTGCAGCGAAAAGACACTTTCTTCTGTGAGTGTGTGCCTCCGAGGAAGATTGTGGCTGTTGCTCTATGGAAATTTGCTACAGGTTCAGATTACAGACCCATCAGTGTTCTGTTTGGTGTTGGCATCTCAACCGTTGCCAAGTGTGTGAAGGACCTTAGTGCTGCTGCAGAAGCATTGCTGTTGCCAGAGCTGATTCATTTACCCGATGAGGGGAAATTTCGGGAGATAGCGTCGTATTTTGAGAGCAGGTGGGGGTGTGGGTGCTATTGATGGCTCACACATCCCCATCATAGCACCCAGAAACTTTCACACAGACTGTTTCAACCGGAAAGGGTGGCACTCACTCATCGTGCAAGCTGTGGTTGATGGAAAGGGACTGTTTAGGAACGTTTTTGCAGGGCTTCCAGGGAGCATGCACGACGCGAGGGTCCTGAGGCTTTCCTCCATCTGGGATTTGGCAAGCTGTGGAAATCTCTTCCCTGATCATTCCATCAAAATAGCTGGCGTTGACTTTGGATGCTGCATCCTGGGTGACTCTGCTTACCCGCTGCAAGACTGGCTTCTGAAACCCTTCACAGACACTGGGCGACTGACAGAGCAGCAACTTCTCTTTAACAAGAAGTTCAGCCGGGCACGTGTGGTGGTTGGAAATGCCTTTGGTAGGCTGAAGGGAAGCTGGCGCTGCCTACTTCAAAGGAATGACTGTGATGTCAGTCTGGTGCGTTCCATGATTCTGACCTGCTGTGCCCTGCATAATCTGTGTGAGAGCCATGGGGAGCATTATGACAATGTGTGGACGACTGAGACAGATTACCCTGAACCTGTGGCTGCACCCCCACCGCCACAACAAAACACAGGAGAAGTGGGAGGGAGAGCAAAGCGTGATGCTCTGGTGATGCACCTTGTGGGGCAGCAGTGATTTAATCACATCTGACTGAATGTTTTGGCCAAATAAAGTTTTCTCGTCTCAGCAAATGTTTGACCTTTGAACTTTTTATGCTCCCACACACAGTCCACTCGTCATCTCCGGCAACAACCAAACAGCATCAGCTGGGGCAAGATAACTCAGTCCATCCAACCCAGCCCCCATAATTCAGCTCTGGATATGAAGCCAACAAGGAAGTGGCTAAAACTGCAGTTCCACCCTCATCCACTAGGGGCTGGCAGCAGAAGAGAGCACGTCCCCATTGACTCCCACGTTAAAAATGTCAGTTTAACAGCAGAAATAAACATGTTTACAGCCTGGTTCAATAACCATTCTAGGTTTAATAGATCCAGGTTACATTAATAACAACTCTGACCAAAGGTGACAGATCATCTGCTGCTGTGGCCCCCAGACTCTGGACCTCTCTCCCACTGAGCCTGAGATCAGTGGACTCAGTGGTCTCCTTTAAAAAGCAGCTGAAGACTCACTTGTTCAAGCTGGCTTTTGTATGACCTTCTTCACCTCTCTCTCTTTATTCTGCTCTCCCCACCTATTCCACCTTCCTCAGGATCCACTGGTTTCCCTCTTTCCTGTTCACTCTCTCTCTTTCTTTACATTTTTAATCACAATTGTCTATTTTTGCTCATTTAAATATATTTTTAAACATTTTCTAAATGCTTTTTTATTTTTACACTTTTTCTTTTTGTGAAGCGCCTCGTGATTTTTATCTTGAGAGGCGCTATAGAAATGATACTTTCTTCTTCTTCCTCTCTGGGGGGGTTGGGACTTTTTGTTACTCTTCTGTTGAAGTGGAGTTCAATTCTTAAACATCTGAATAATTAATGAGCATCCACTTCAGAGCCAGCTCCAGAGAAATGTTAATAGATGTTCAGCCATTTTGACTCTGAACTTGTGTGTGTGTGTGTGTGTGTGTGTGTGTGTGTTAATTATGGGATTAGTTGGACAAAAGGACAAGCTGTGGTTATTAACAGACTATCCAAGCAGTTTCTGCTTCTTTTTATCAGTAAGTAAAATTATATTTCTGTACTTGATTGTGGTTGAATGCGGGGATGCTGTTATTTATCTGCTAGGTCGGACATGTTAGTGGGGCTGCTGCTGGATGAGAGACTTGAGCGAGTGCCCAGCTTCTCCTGTCTCCTGTCCAGTTGCTAGCGGGAGTTCCCCGGCCGGCTCCGAAGCGAGGCTGTAGTCATGCTGGATATCTGAGGGAAACCACAGAAACACTGCAGCTTTATTTGTTGACGCTGCTTCACTTTTGAGATGCTCAACCGCATTTTCTTGCTGAAAACGCCCAGAAAAACTCTGTTAGCTTTGGATTAACATGTAGCTAAAGCCCCACTGATCTCCAGCTCCCGGAGAAGGGAACATCAACAATGGCGGACACGCGTATCTTTCACCACGGTGGACTGGCGAAGCCTGATATCCTCTGTCATCTTACCTAGTTATGATTTTGTTACTAAGCAGGCCGTAGGTGCCTACTTTGGATTCGCTCTACCGCGTTTTTATTTATTTATTTATTCTGAAAACGGCTGGAAAAACTCTGTTAGCATATGGCTAATGCCCCGCTGATCTCCATCCGTGGAGCAAGAGCTGATGTAAAAGGCCCCGGCCCCCCGGCTATGACCGCAACAGTCTGAGGCTCCACTTGTAATTTAACAGTTTAAAACTTGTACAATCAGAACCACTCGTAATAGTTTGGGGTCTCCGTCCATGGGGCAAAACTGTGGAACAGCCTGGATACACGCCACAAACAAGGCCAAAATATCCATGAATTAAAAAAGTTAATAATTATAGGATATGTTCAAAATATACAGAGCAAGGGTCTTAAATGTAAGCCAATAGTATGTTACCTGTGCTTAATGTGGTCACTCTAAAGTCTTGTTACTTACAACAATTATTCATTACCATCATTACCTTTCTTCTTTTTTATAGATTTAGTATAGAATAATCTTCTTTTTTCTTATTTAACACAGTGAAGTAATTAGATGTTTTTTACCTTCGCCACGAACAGCTGGCGGCTCTGACAAAGGCGGATGTTCCTTCAGCCGAATGTAAAAAAAAACCCTGTAATTACTTCACTGTGTTAAATTAATATGCTCCAGTGTTCCACGGCCAGGACGAAAACCACATAGCTCCTCCTGAATCAGAGGTTCGGCAATCTGACGGACCCTCCTCTCCAGAGCCCCTGAGTAGACCTGACCAGGAAGGCTCAGGAGTGATCCTGTAGTTGGAACGCATCCTGCTGTAATGAATAAAAAGAGTCCATTTTCACCATCGAATTGACACAGCATAACCTTTCATGCAAGCCAGAGCTGCTAAGTTAAGGTTACGCCAGCTGGAGGATCCAGATGCACAAATCAACCTTTTGCTCACTTATTGTTCTTCAATGTGTAACATGAGGAATGTTATGTACTCATGTGTTTCTAGGGGGAACTGTTAGAGGGAACACAAAGAAGCCAGAAACAGGCTGGGCTTATGTTTGTACCTGGAGTTGGCACGGATGTTAATAAAGTTTCACGTGTAAGCAACGATACGGCTTTAACCGTCCATTCTGTAACGTTGAGCAACAGAACAGAATGAAACATGGTGGCAGCGGTAGTAAATGCAGCTACGAGGTGAGAGAGCTGCTTTAGGAATAGCGGACTGTGCCGATAGCTGGAGGCTGTTAGTCTAGCACGCTAGCACAGGCGGGAGCGTGCCGACGAGCACGGAGTCACTGACGGAGCCGAGGAGTGCGCTTGGCGTCATGATGGAAGGTATCCGACCACCTCCGACTCTGCTTGGACTCTGCCAACATGGCTAAGACGTGGAACAGTTGGAAGGAGGAATTCACGCTGTACACGGACCTCACAATGCCGGAGGCGGAAGAAACGACGAGAGTTAAGTTATTTATCTATCTACTCGGTGAAAGAGGGAGAGAACTTCTGAGAACACTGATGGGGGGGTGCTACATCAGCGAGAGTTACTGTGAGTTCGATGATAAAGCAGTTTGACGACCATTGCAATACAAAAGTGAATGAGACTGTGGAGCGGTACAAATTTTTTGTCAGAGACCAGGGACAAGATGAAAATATCGACAAATATGTGACGGACTTAAGAGTTTTGGCCCGTTCATGTAACTTTGGTGCCATTCAGGATTCACCAATAAGGGATCGCATTGTTTGTGGAACAAGTAGCCCTTCCTTGAGGGAGAGACTTTTGAGGGAGGAGGACTTAACACTAGATAGGTGCATACAAGTATGCAGAGCCTCAGAACTGTTGAAAGAAAACAGTAAAACACTCCAGGGCAGATTGACAGAGGAACTGCATGCAATGAAAATGAGTCCAGGAAGAAAAACAGAGGAGATTATTTGCAACTTTTGTGGCAACAGGCATGTAAAAAATAAACGAAAGTGCCCAGCATACGGAAAGAAGAGTAAAAAATGCGGGAAAGAGAACCACTTTGCAGTGAAATGTAAATCGAGACCCACGAAAGACAAGAAAAGCAGGCCAGTGCTAACAGTTGAGGATACAAGTGAATCGGGTGAGGACATCATGACAATAACACACGTCAGTGAACACCAGGAGATGATAAATCAAATGAATGAGGCACACAGGAAAAGTCAACACCTCTTTGCAGGGATGTTGCTGGACAAAAAGCTTGTCAACTTTCAGATTGACTGTGGTGCTACGTGTAACGTTATCCCCATACAAAGGTTGAGCTCAAACACACAACTGGATAACACGGAGAAGATACTTGTCATGTATAATAAAAGCAAAATACGCCCGCTTGGGAAATGCAAAACCAAACTGCGGAACCCGAGAACTAATAAACTGTACAAGCTTGAGTTTCAGGTGGTGGATCAGGAAGACGGAGTCCCCATATTGGGCAGGAGGGCAAGCGAAGCCATGAAACTGATCAGGGTGCAGTATGAAAATATACTGGCAATGGACAGTATAGTGACTACGCATAACACAAAGTCCCAGAAAGAGAGCAACTAACAACCATGGACAAAATAAAGAGGGTGTTCCATGATGTTTTCGAAGGCGTTGGCTGCCTGGAAGGAGAGTACCGCAAAGAAATAGATGAAACTGTAACACTGGTAAAACTGCCCAAACGTAGGGTGCCGGTTGCTATGATGGCCCCACTCAACGAGGAGTTGAAAAGTCTGGAAGACAGAAATCATAGCACCCGTGGAGTGCAGTACAGACTGGATAAGCAGTATGGTGTCAGTAACGAAACCCAATGGAAAGACAAGGATCTGCATAGATCCCAAACCACTGAACAGAGCCCTCAAAAGGAGCCATTTTCCACTCCAACCATTGACGATATTCTGCCGGCACTCTCCAAAGCAAAGGTCTTCACTGTGTGTGATGTAAAGTAGGGATTTTGGCATGTTAAACTGGAAGAGGAGTCTAGTTATCTCACCACGTTTGCGACCCCGTTTGGACGATATCGGTGGCTCAGGATGCCAATGGGTATTAGTCCGGCCCCAGAAGTATTCCAAAGAAAACTGATGCAAGCACTCAAGGGCTCAGAAGGGGTGTACAATAATGCTGATGACATACTGATTACAGGTGAGGGAGACACACAACAGGAAGCAGAGATGAACCATGATGAAAACCTTAGATGTTTTCTACTCAGGTGCAGACAAAGAGACATAAAACTCAATGCAGAAAAGGTTAAGCTGAGAAAAGATTCAGTACCTTACATTGGTCACTTACTGAGAGCAGACGGTCTACACATTGACCCAGAGAAGGTGCGCGCAGTGCGTGAGTTGCTGAGACCTACAGACGTAAAAGGGGTAGAGGGACTGGTGGGCATGTTTAACTACCTTTCAAAGTTTTGCGATCACCTCTCAGATGACTGTGAAGTTTTGAGACAGCTCACACATAAGGACAACGTGTGGGAATGGACCGAGGTGCACGAGACAGCGCTAGACAGACTAAAAGAAAAGGTAACAAATGCCCCAGTGCTCAGATATTATGACCAA